ATGATAAAAACGCCAAAGAAATAAATATAGAAGGACTTTATTTCAATCTGATGAAAGTCATTCATGACAAACCTACTGCCAATATCATTAAATGGGGAAAAACAGAGCTTTTCCTCTAAAATTATGAACAAGACAAGGATGTTCACTATTACCACTCCTATTCAATATACTACTTGATATTTTAGCCAGAGCAATCAGGCAAGAGAAATAAATAAAAAGTAGAGAAAAGGAAATCAAACTATATTCTCAGATGACATGATACTTTACATAGAAGATCCAAAAATTCCACTGAAAGAGTCCTAGAACAACCCAAGTTTAGCGATATAGTAGAACACGATATTGACACAAAAAGTGTGCCTGTACAACAATAATGAACCCACTGAGAAGGGAACTAGGAAAATAATACCATTACAGTAGCTTCAAGGAACATTACATACTTAGGAATTAACCTAACCAGGGAAGTGAAAGAATTTTACAGTGAAAATTACATTAGTCTGAAAAAAGAAATCAAAGAGGACAATAGAAAATGGAAAGATGTTTCTTGTTCCTGGATAAGCAGAATCAATATTGTCAAAATGGCCTTATTTCTGAAACTGATAGATTTAATGCAATCTCAATCAAAATACCAACAGCATCTCTCACAAAACTATAAAAAACAATCCTAAAATTCATATGGAATCAGAAGAGACCAGAATAGCAGAAGCAATCCTGGGCGAGAAGAAATCAGGAGGCATCACAATCCTGGATTGCAAATTATATTACAAAGGTCGGTGACAGAAACAGCACAGTACCAGCATAAAACAGACTTGTGGATCAGTGAAACAGAGGACGCAGAAACAACCCCAGGCACGTTCAGCGATCTAATCTTTGACAAAGGAACCAAAAGTAATGGTAGGGAAAACTGGCTGTACACATGCAGAAGACTGACTCTAGACCCATTTCTATCACCATGTACTAAACTAAAAACAGATAGAAGATCTGAATATTAAAATATCTGCTGAAAGATAAATAGGTGAAACTCATGAAGACACTGGCATAGGCAAGGACTTTCTGGTCAGAACTCCAATTGCACAAGAAATAACAAGAATCAACGCGTGAAACTATATTAAATGAAAAAGCTTCTGGACAGCAAAGGAAACCACCAAAAGAGTAAAGACACAAGCTACAGAATGGGAAAAATTTCTGTTAGTTACTCCTTGCACAGAAGACTAATACATGAATAGAGAAGAATATATGGATAGAAAAGAATATTTGAAAAACTAAAACAAGAAATCAGACCTCAACCCCAATAAAAGACCCAGTCAGAATGATGGGCAACTGAAATGGACACTTCTGAGAACAAGTACAAATGGGCAATAAATACTTGAGAAAAGGATCAATATCTTTGGCAAACACCACTGAGATTCCATCTTACTCCAGAAAGAATGACTATCTTCTGGAGAAAGAAATCAAATAGTAACAAATGCTGGCAAGACTCTGGGGGTAAAAACACCTGTCTGCATGGTTAGTGGGAGTGTAAAGTAGTACAGGCACTACAGAAGTCAGTGTGAAGATTCCTGAAAAAACAAAAAGCAAATTCCATTAGGTCCAGCCATTCTTCTTCTCGGTATGTTCCTGGAAGTCAGACATCTTATTACAGTGATACCTGCATACCCATTTTTATAGCAGCACAACTCATAATAGCCAAATCCTGGAAGCAACCTGTATGTTCATTAATAGGTGACTGGATAAAGAAAATGAGGTATTTCTATAAATGGAGTACTACTGTGCCATAACAGATAAAAATTGGAGTCATCTGTAGGAAAATGGATGCACTATGAAACCATGTTAAGTAAATGAACACACAAACTTAAATTGTGCACTTTTTTTTCTTATATAAGAAACCCAAAGTATAAATAATTTAAAGAGCAAATAAATTAGGAAACAAGTAGATCTTTTGCAAATGACAGGGGCACAAGGAGATGGAAGTGGGGGTGCAGACGGGGAAAGTAAAAAGAATTATGATATATAATACACATTATTAACTCTTCATGGTGAATGTAATCATTATGCACTGCAAACATATACTAAAAAAAAAGGAAAAGAAAAAAGACACTTCCATAGGATGACTAGTGCTCATTATCATTTAAACCCAAATGACGAAGTGGACTTAAAAACACGTAGGGTGAGAAAGGTGTTTTGGAAGTAGTAGTTGTATAACATTGTGAATGGACAAAATGACAATGAATCATTCACTTTGACATGATTATGTGTTCCACCTAAAAATGGCCAGTAACCAGTTTATGTTTGATATATTTTTAAGTGGAACAAGACTGAAGATCCTAAAGAACACACACCTTAGAGGTGGGGGATAGGGTATGAATGGTCCTCTCCTAGCATGAGAACCTACAGGTTCAGGAAGGTACTGCTTTTCCTTGATTGTCCCTCCTCACGATGATTTGGGAACATTTCATTCTACTTTGCCTCTCAAATTGGTATGATTTCACAGTTGCAGATATTTGGTGTATTCATATGGCAGACAGCTCAGAAATGTAGTCATAAATCTTACATACTTGTGTTGGCTTTCTGTAGCGCTGACCTCAGCCTGTTGCCATTTCAGCCTAAGCATTAAAAAATTCTTAGGTATTCTACATCTGCAGAAGAAAAATCCATCATGTGACTGAGGGAAGGAACAAATTAGATGTTCCACTGTTACCTACTTCCTAGTAATGCTTTTCTTTAAAGAAATTAGTTTTTACTGGTCCTAAGTATTTTTCATTTTTTCTTTCTCCAATTGAAATGGGGTGCACAATTCAGTTTTGGGTTTGCCCTCAGGGTAGTGTTGCTGGTGTGAGGTGTCAGGTGCACTGAAGCTGGGAAGGTAGGTGGGGTCAGGCCTTGTAGGTTTTGCCAGTCACCATTAAGGATTCTAGTCTTCAGCCTAGATGGGATGGGAAGGCACTGAAAAGGTGGAGGTGACTCTGATGCAGGATTAAGTACAGGTGGGGAGAGAGGATGTAAAATAGGAACCTTTTGTGGAGGAACAGGTCAGAATTGCATGATGTTGAAGAGGGGGTGATGGAGATACGTGGAAGATGAAATTCACAGAATAAAAATTGCAAATACTGATAAAATCTATAGAATTTAAGAGTAACGGGCTGGGGATTTAGCTCAGTGGCACACATGCCTGCCTGGCAAGCGCAAGGTCATGAGTTCCATTCCTGGTACTGGAAAAAAAAAAAACAAAGAATTAAGAGTAGCAATAGGTCAAGGTAAACCTCATTTTACTTTTTTCAGAATCAGTCCTCTTATAAATGTGGATTACAGCTAATAGTATTGGTTGCTACTAGTTTTCCTTAGTCAAACACATATTCTCTGCTTAAAAAGATTTAAATGTTGGTGAGAAAGGTCCAACCATCTAGAAACAAACGAACAGTGACCCAGAACAGCTGATTATGTGGTAGTATTGAATTTTTAGCCTTAAAGACTTTTAATCATTTTTATTTTATTTTATTTGTACTGGGAATCAAACTTAGGACCTTGTGCTTGCCAGGCAGGCACTTGTGCTGCTGAGCTATATCCCCTGCCCTGACTTTTAATCATTTTAACAAAGCATCTTTACAAGACAGTTTTAATGTGACCTGTAACTAAGACATTTATCTCCACTGTTCTACAAAAGTTCTGAGTTTCCAAATCTTACAGCTTTAAGAGCTGGACAGGACCTTAGGATGCTTTTAATCCATTTGTTTTTGCAGATGTGGAAGAGGCTCAAGACCTGCCTAGTCATGAACCTCACTGCAATCTGGATTAGTTCAGAGAACTCATCTCCTATGCAGAACTTTCAATTTTGAGCTTGAATTCCCTCTGTAAAATGGGGGTAATGTCTCTTATAGAATGGTTGAGGATCAAATTAACCCACAAAACACTGTTACTAAGTGTTAGGTTTATATCACAAGTGCCTAACAAGGGTTAGCTACTACCATTGGTTGTAGGGACAAAGCCCAATTTTGAAACACCAAAGGGATCCAGAGAAAAACTTCAAGCATGGGACTATAATTTAAACCCAGCAGTAAAGCAAGCAGGACTCACAGAAACCCCAAAATTTTAGTCCTGGCTCCAGCTATGTTGTGACTTGGAGACATTTTTCACACAGAAATCTCTTACATAATGTTAAGTATGAAGAAATTTCTTCTGCAACTGCAGGGGGGGTGCAGGTGACAAACTGTCCCATCACTGTTTAGGAAGGACTGGACAACCTGCACAAGGATGCCTGCAGCCAGGACTATCTGGAGCAGGCTTGGTCTGACCATCCTGGACCCCCTGGCTTCTTCCAGGGCCCCTGTGCTGCTCTGCTGTAGGAGTCACGGATCAAAGCATGGTTAAAAAAGCAGCACAAGTGTTTGCTTGGTGTGGGTGAGAAGGTGGGTATGACCACTGCTCTTCACTTCCAATCATGTAAAAGCTGACATAAGGCAGTCAGCTACACCAGTTTTTATACCTAGTTAGCAAATCAAGGAGTCACATTTGGTGGCACATGCCTATCTCAGCATGCTAGGAGGCTGAGGTAGGATTGTAAATTCTAGCCCCTCTTGGGCGATTCAGCGAAACCATGTCTCACAATAAAAGGGGATGTAGCTCAGTGTCTTGGTTTCCATCCCCAGTTGAGGAAAAGAAAAAAAGCAAAAAATATGCTTCTACCAAATCATGCTGTACAAATCTCACTTCAGCACAGATGTTCACAGTCCCAATCTTCTGGATGCTTATACTTTCCTCTTCTTCGGTGTAGACAAGGAAAAGAGGCAGGAAGACTGGGAACTCATGGTTACTCTATAGCACTATCCCAGCTGCAGTCTGCATGGCTGTGTGAGGGGCCTGCTCCCTGCTACATGGCTGCACCTGTGTCATATGGTGCACCTACGTAAACTGGACTGAAAGGGTGACCATTTTATTCTGCTCCTGCCCCATATACCCATCATGCCCACCCGCCGAAGCTGAACACAAAGGGTTGCCTGACACCCAGATAGGTTATGTCGTTTCCACTTTATTGCTCAAGCATGGGACTTGAGGCACACCTGGACCTTCGGCAACATGCAGAGAAGAGGCTGGGGGCCGGGGTCACAACCTAGGCAAGAAGGAAAACTGACAGGAGAGGAAATACTGGAAGTGGTGGTGGGGAACAAGGGGTGGCCACCAAGACACCAGAAGATACATCACTCACGCCATCTGGGGTGAGGAAGGGAACAGGAAGGAAATGGGCACAGCAGTGGTTTTTCCCACACCCCTAGCACCGCAGGGAGGCCATACATTTGCAAATGGACTAGAGAAATGATGAGGATAATGGCTGCCTGGGACTCCCTCTCCACCCTGGTCTCACATCAGATCCCATCCCTATCACTTGCCCCCTTCTACCATTTGAAAAATTGACTTAATAGAGGGAGCAAAATAAATTAACATTCTCATGACTACGTGTGGATGGACCTATGTTCATATATAGTGGGGAACAGGTGGTGATATCACCTCAAACTGTCCCCCACTTCAACATCACCCCCCAAAGCCATCATCCAACCAGATAGAAAAATAAAGTCTAATTCACTCAAAATTCTTCAGTTTTTACAAAATTAACAGTAGAATAGGGAAGGGAGCGGGGAGGCAGGCAGCTGCATGGAGTAGGGCTGGGAAGGCTATGCTTCTGTCTCCACCTGAGGCTGGCTTCCTGAAACAGTGTTCTTCTGCTCGTCCTTCATTTCTGTGTCAGTGTGATGGTCTCCTGTGGCTACCTCTGCCTTGGCCTGTAAGGATGAGGGAGAGGAAGGTGCTGAATTCCCAAGTAAAAACCACACTCAATTTCTAACAGAATTGTGTGGACTTAACAATTCTAGGACTGTCCGAAAGATATACCTGAGAAAGTTCAAACTGTAAATATACAAGGTCATTCATTTGCAATACTGTTTACAATTTTGCTCATCTATCATGACGGTATCCATTACATGAGACTGGTTCCAATCAATGTTTTGAGGCAGGGTCTCACTATGTAACACAGGTGACCTCAAACTCATTATGCAATGTAGACTGCTCAAAACTCATAATCCTCGTGTTTCAGCCTCAGTGCTGGAATTATAGGCATGTGTCAACTTCAGATCAATCTGTTCTAAGTATAAGACACCCACTGGATTTTAGACTCATTCTAAAAAATACACAGGTGCACTAGACTTTCTTTTTTTTTTAGGTACTGGGAATCGAACTCAGGACCTTGTGCTTGCCAAGCAGGCACTTGTGCCACTGAGCTATATCCCCCGCCCCAAGACTTTCTATAATGTAATAATAATAGTAATAATTTTTTTGGGCAGTAAAAAAATAATTTAGCCTGGGCTACAAAGTGAGCTCAAAGCCAGCCTGAACTGCATAATGAGACCCTGTCTCAAAAAAAAAAAAAAAA